GACAACGATCTCAGAAGTCCGCCACAGTGCCTGAGTGGCCGCGTTCGCACACCCGTCTGTTGTTTGGAAGGCCAACTATTGTTTCCCAGGGAGGCTTCCCCCCCTCACCCCTACTAGCGAGCGTCGTTGGGAAATCGCCTTTCCTGGATTTCCTCTCCGGAGCTCTTCTCGCGCTCCAGATGGCCAACACTGTCTCCAAAACGGCTTCCAAGACAACTGAAGTGAATCCAAGACGGCCCAAAATGGCTCAAGACATCCTATGAGGCGCCCAGAACGGTACCAGGATAACCCATGGGTCTCTATGGGTCTCTCAAGACGGCCCAAGAGGCCTCCAAGAGGCCCTCTAGAAAAGCCCGAGGGTGCAATCGCAACTCATGTTCTGTAGGTGTGCGAAAGATGTCGGGGTTCTCGCCTGCTTGTGTTTGCGACCGCCCATGATGGCAAAAAACCTGCAGTTTAGCCCCATAAGAGACCCAGGGGACCCAGAGGCTTCAAGAGGCCTCCTAAGCGGCCCGAGGAGACACCGAAAGGCTCGTCGCCACCCATGGCCTTGGCGGCGCGCTCGCGCGCAGCAACATAACTGATGGCGCTGGAACCATGGAATTTCACCATCCTCGTAGGCCAAGACGATGAGCGATACAAAACCGTGCTCTTCCTGAGAAGTGGCACGTAACCGGGTTGGCTACGACCGCGTGGCCACCAGCGAAGTTGCGCGTGCCGTCCGCCTCCTTGACCAACGGCGTCAACCTCATCTTGGGTGTGCTCTCCGAAGTCACGCGCCCATCCCAGACTTCTTGCCTGCCCTCCCCGCCAGAGTGCGAGCTCGGCGAGAGGGAGACTCTGCCTGCCTGGCGGGCCCCCCAGAAAGCTCCACTTGGGTCCCGTCCCGAAGGTCGTACGGAGCGTTGCCCCGCGCTCCCGACCCTCCTCCACGGTCTACTGCCTTGCGGCCGGTCTTCCGTCCCGGAGGGTCGTGCGGAACGCTGCCCCGCACTCTCGGCCCTCCTCCGCGGTCGGCCACCTCGGCTCCCTCCGCCTTCCTCCTGCGCACATGGCAGGCGTCTGGGGGGCCGAACTTCTCGTTCCGCCAAAGCGCGGCGTCGAGGGCGCAGGCTGGCAGGCCCAGGGGTCAGCTGCAACGCCCAACCGTTATTCAGAAATTGCCGAGCGCCTGGGCCCAAAGGGCCGCAGATGTCGGTCCCGGGGGCCTCTTTATGGGGCCTCCTAGGGGCCTATTGCGGGGATCTTGGGTTCTCTTTGGGGTTTCTTGGGGGCTTGTTTGCTTGTGGCCTCGGGATCAATGGGATCAGTTGTCCAACAGTAAACTGTCTCACTCGCACCCTCTGCAAAGGAATCACCGATGTAGGTTCCAAAGGTCTTCGGGGAACAGCGATATTCCAGCCCTTCACAGAATGACGTCTCAAATGCAAGATCGAGTCGACAGGATCAATGGTGTTAGTCGGTAGCTAATTTCCCCCAATCTTCGCGGTACCGCGCTAAAACCAAACGTGCCAATAGGCGCAGGCCACTCAGGTTTGAGACACAAATAAACAACATATCGCAACGAATGTAATTAATAGTGGCGATACGTGCGGAAATCAGCCGGCACCATCGGCGTGTGGGGGAAGTTTTTCAGTTTGAGTCTTCGTCGTCGATGTCGTCGCTCCCCCTCAAGCGCTCCAGCCAGAGGGAAATCGATCGGTGTCATAATCGAGTCAGAGGCAGGGGATGGGGTCCCGGAAAGGTCCCGTGACTTCCTGGGGTTGGACCCCACCTTTGGTGGGGGGGAGGGAAGAAGGGTCGGCGGGGGCGGGGGGGGAAGGGGTCGGGGGGGGGGCAGGAGTTGTGACCCCCCCCGGGGGGGGGGAGCACCCCTCCCTGGGAGAAACTTTCGGCTCCAGAGCGTTAGCGTCGTCGTCGTCGTCGCCGTCGCCGTCGCCGTCGCCATCCCCGCCGCCGGCCGCCGCCACCGCCGCTTTCGCCGCTCCAAATATCGCTCCCATGTATCCCATGTATCGCCCCCGCACTACCGCTTAACATAGATAGTTCCCGTGAAAAGTCCCCCACGTATTGCCCCCCCGCCCGCGGGCGGAGAGGCCTGTGCAGGTGCTGCACGGCGAGTGCCATCTCCAGGAAGACGCGGGCGATCTCGCACTCGCCCATGTACTGCATGTGGGTAAGCCTCTCCGCCGCGAAAAGGATTTTTTGTAATCGGGGGCATGATGAAAACCCCCACCTCCTCTCGTCGCGACAAAATCTCGACGGGAGGCTTCGGGGGGGTCCCTCGGGCCGGACGCTCGGAGAGGCGACCCTGATTTCTGATCCGCCGTGGTGTGGTTCATTCTCCGACTCAACACTGTGTCAGAACTGCGCCCGAAGCGATGCGAAAAAGCAGGCCAGAAAATTTTACCTCGAAAGAGAAAAAGAGGGCAACTATCTCCGCAAACGTATGATAGAAGCAACGACGGCAAAGTAGGGCGGATATCAACATCCGGGGAGCTCGGAACGAAAGGCGGGAATTGCCGCCATGCTTGCGATATCGCCCAAAGCACGGCGGATCCGGAATTAGGGTCTCCAGAGGTTTGTTTTGTGCACGGCCGAGTTGCTGAAATCAAGGAGGCGACGCGAGGAACATGACCCGTTTTGGGGGCCAGCAACACTTGGGTGCACAAGGAGGGCAAACAGGGAACCGCTACGGATTGACCAGAAGAACAATGCCCCTCCCGAACCCAAAGCGGCCCTCATCTCAGCGTCTCGATTGTGACGGGGGCGGAAGATGAGGACCCCCACTGAGCGGAAGCCCAAACAAGGATAAATTCGGGCGAACATAATTCGGGAATCTCTGAGATCCGGCGGCTCTGGAGGATGTCTCGGGAGCCGCGGCCCTCTCCGAGCGTCACGGGACGCTCTGAGAGCGTTCCGGAACGCTCTGGAACGGATCGATCCTCGTCCTCGCCCCGCCTGGTCCTCCTCCTCGGCCTCCTCTTCCTCCTCCGCCTTATCCCTCCTCCTCCTCCTCCTGTTCCTCCTCATCATTATCATCAACAGCATCATCATCACACCATCACCATCACCACCGCCATCATCAGCATAATCATCCTCCTCATCATCAGCATCATCATCACCATCAGCATAATCATCATAACCACCATTATCATCATAACCATCATCATCCTCATCATCTTCATCATCATCGCCATCACCCTCATCACCATCATCACCATCATCGTCCCCACCATCATCATCATCACCATCACCACCACGATCACCATCACCATCATCAGCATCATCATTTTCGTCATCATCATCGCTATCATCATCATCAGCATCATCAGCATGATCATCATCATCATCATCATCCTCATCATCATCATCATCATCATCATCATCATCATCCTCATCATCATCATCATCATCATCATCATCATCATCCCCCCTGCTCATCCCCCTCCTTCTCCTCCTCTTCCTCTTCCTCTTCCTCCTCCTCCCCCCTTCTCCTCCTCCTTCTCCTCCTTCTCCTCCTCCTCCTCCTCCTCCTCCTCCTCCTCCTCTGCGCGGCGGCGGGACCTCCTGGAGTCCGATGGGGGGCCCGCCGCGGTTGCGCGCCGCGCGGCGAGCGCAGCCGCGCCCGCGCCCGTCGCGCCCGCGCCGACGCCTCCGCGGGCGGGGGGGCGGGGGGGGGGAAGGGGGACTGGCAGGAGAGGATGCAGGATAGGCACTTGATATCCAAGTGAAGCTAGAGCAGGCACAGCTCCGCCCTGAGATGCGAAAGTAACTTGCATACGTTCGCCCGGACTGGGCCTGCGGTGGCGGTGGTCAGCGTTCCTCCTCTGGGAGGGAGGGGGGGCGCGCACGAGCAGTCCTTGCACCCACCGAGGTGTGGGCACAGCCCTCGTGCGCTTCCAGCAGCCCCCGCGCACGGCACACAGCGAGCACGCAGGGTGGTGCTCGCGTGGCCTTCTGGCACGCGCCTCGCGGTGGCCTGGCCCCTTGTGGGAACAGCGATGGCGGTACTCGCTGGGGCCCTGGTGGTGACCTCCTCCCCAGCTACGCTCCATCAGAATCCTGTTCCGCGCCGTCCTCCTCCTCCTCCTCCTCCTCCTCCTCCTCCTCCTCCTCCTCCTCCTCCTCCTCCTCCTCCCCCTCCACCTCCTCCTCCTTCGTATCCTCCTCCTCCTTGTCCTCCTTCTCCTCCTCTTCATCAGCACTCTCCCTTGCCGCATCCCCCTCGTCTTACCCCCCCCCTCCTCCTTCCCCTGACGCCCAAGCCCCTCACGTATCCTCTTCGTCCTTGTGCTATGCCTCCTCTTGCTCCTCCGCCGCCTTCTCCTACGTCTTCTCCCCCTCCTCATTCTGCCCCCCCTCTTCGTAAACACCCAGACCCATGGTGTCAGCGCCCACCTCCTGCAGACAGCGTCCGTGGCAGCGGTGCTGGCAGCAGAGGGCAAGTCCTGGCAATCGTTGGAAACAAGCTGTTCAGCTGGCCTGTATCCGGCTTCCGCCCCACCCCCCAACCTACCTTCCCCAAAAAGTAAGTCGCCGCCGTCCTGCTAGTGCTTCTTCTCCTCCTCCTCCTCCTCCTCCTCCTGCTCATCCTGGTCCTCCTCCTCCTCCTCCTCGTCCTCCTCGCCCTCCTCCTCCTCCTCCTCCTCCTCCTCCTCCTCCTCCTCCTCGCCCCCCTTCCCCTTGCCCTAACTCCTCGCTCGCTCGCCTCCTTCTCCTCCTCGTCCTCGCTCTCCCCCTCATCAATATCCTCGCCCCTCTTCGTGATTGCCCTCCCCCCCCCTCCACGAGGCCTGTGCACGAGGGCCGCCTCGCAGCGCTCCATGACCATGTATATCAGTCTTGGGCGACGAGGAGGGGCAGCGTTAGGGGGGGGCCAGCTCACCCCCCAGAGCTTCTGCCCGTTCCCGAGATGGCTCCGACGGCCGGCCGGGACGAGCCCAGCACCCGCGGAGCGCTCTGGGCGAGGCGCAGCTGCCGGTGAGCGTTCCGAGGCT